GGTAGTTGTGGAGGGTTGATCGCCTACGTCCTGAAGATTTTTTTAATAAAAAATGTCTTGATGACAGACTGAGGGAAAGAAAGACAGAAGAAAGCAGCATGTAACATACTTGATGGGCTTAAGTAAATTTGGTAGGTTTTACCAGAAATAAAAAAAAAAAACTTATTAAGAGTTACAAGGGAGAGGAAGATATGGAGGGCCATGATCGCCTACATCGCGAAGGGACACGGCACGTAAAAGACTTCACATTGTTTTGGATGGCTTTTGACAGAGATGATGCGGTTCATAATCCAATAGAATTTTGTTCGTGATTAGTAACTCATTGGAGCCGCTTGAACCCGTTTGTCTAAAGAAGTTCATTGCCGTTACACTGTCTTGTTATTAGATAGCATAACGAGTTTACTTCTAATGGATCTCTTACTATTAAATCCTTTTGTCAGACTTTAGTAAATGATTGTAGCACTAAGATTCTTCGTTTCACACTAGTGCTGTCTTATCCCTTTTGGCAGGCCAGCAAAAGTCACGTAAAAATAATTCGATAATAACGCCTAATTATCACTAATTATGAACGTGTCATGACTTTAAAGAATTAGGACTGTTTGAAACACGAACAAATATTTCTCATATGAAAATCTTTTGATCAACGTCTCAACAGAATTACTAGAATTGATCACATTTAACACACGCTTCATGACAAGGGAGCAACCCAGCTTTCACAGACAACTGTAAAAAAATATGATTGGGATTGGATAAGGGATGTATAGTTTAGCGTTCCATTCACTGTATGTACATTATTCTTATACAGCAGCTCAGCTCTCCGATGAGCTGAACATTTGTTGAGAATAAGAATTTTGTAGTTTTCCCAATTGAATCGCATTGCACAAAAATATATTTTGTTCGAAACTGTTGTCCTGATATAAGGAGGTCACTAGATATCAGTTACCGGAAAATTAGTATTTTTTAGGCACATATTACACATCTCTCATATATATATATATATATATATATATATATATATATATATATATATATATATATTATATGAAATGGACAAAGTCAGACAATTATTTTTTAAGACATTTTTTATGTTTATAGTTCTTTTTATAGATACAAATATTTAAGCAAATGGTATGTTTATTATAAACATTATTAAACAACATTTACCGGCCTGAATGTCCGAGAAATTTTCATTGAAACTATGCGTCCTCCGACAGGAATCGAACCTGTATCCTACATATAATCTGACGTGCCTTTTGGGCCATAGAGGAGCGTTCGGTTAGCAAGGTCGATTTTATTGTATTTAAACACAATTCTATGAAAACCAAACCAAACAAAATCAGTATAGTGGAAAGGGAAGGCGGATATTGTGTGGTTTAAATAGAAAGAGTTAACAAACTTAATCCAGATAGCTATTCTCATAAGGTAATTTTGGATTTCTTTATTATGTAATTTATATGCTCTGTTATAATTAACATATTAAGCACTTTTTGTGGATCAGTTTTAATATTTTATATTATTAGGATTCATTTCGATACCAATATATTACTCCCTGTACTAATATATATATATATATATATATATATATATATATATATATATATATATATATATATATATAAAAGAAATATAGTCTTAAGGAGTGCTATATTTATGGGATAAAGTGCTCAATATCAGAGATAGAGCGTGTGTAAATATAAATATTGGCCTGACGATTGCATATAGCATGAAACAGACTGTCGCCTCTAAGTGTTGACTTCTATGTTCACTTTTATATATATATATATATATATATATATATATATATATATATATATATTCTAAAAATTGAAACCAAACCTTAATAAAATTATGAATACTCCAGAAATGTTTTAAAATGTGTCAATAGATAGTTTGAAATGCCTAGGTTTTCACTCATAGTTTCTCTTTTTATTACTCATTTCGTAAAAAAAAAAAAAACTCTCCATAACGTATTTAGTTACCTCCCCTTAAACGGTTACAGCGGCCACGCACTGACGCAGCGTTCTTCACTCCACTTGTAAGAAATTTAACTTTAAGTTTTCTGATGTGCCGTACCTTCGTAATCACCATTAGACTCACCAAACTCTTTCCGAATCCTCTGCACTGTACTCATATTTACACCCAAGCACTCTCCAATGTTCATATTGGAGCTTCAGGCGTGAATGCCAGGCAGTGCAGCATGCCGTTTTCAAATGTCTGGCAGTGAATTGCGTCATTATACTCTTTTTCTCAGAGACAGTGCCCAACTGACCCTAGTATAGTGTGCAGTCGACAAAATCATAAACAAAATGCGCATGCGCGAAATTAAAATATAAAGTGGTGATAATTTACCCATCGCAATCTGTAGATGCATTTTGTTCGGTATATGTGCGTATTCTCCTTCAGTGGTTGCCATCAATTCATTCACTTTTGCCGTTTTTTGGTTTTTTTTTTTTTTTAATGTAAGCTTTATCTTTTAAATATCACCATTAAAATGCCTAATAGTGTGAGATCTGGTGAACGCGGAGGGTATTTGAGTAAACCTCTTCGTCCAGTCCACCTATTTAGCAAAATCTCATCAAAGTAGTCTCTTGCGTCAGAGTGGTAGTATCAGGCTGACCATCTTGCTGAAAATAAAATTCCTCATCTTCAAGGGTGAAATCTCCACTTCTGAATTTTGCAAACCATCTTCTGCAAGTTCTTTCATTCACACATTCCTCTCCATAAACTGAGTGAATGTTTCTAGCCGCTTCGGCTGCTGAGTTTCCTTTCTTGAACTCATAAAGCATTATGTGCCTCAAATGATTCTTGGGTACTTCCATGTTAGTAGGGTTTTAATCAAACAAAATTTAATTTTATTGTTCTCTGAAATAAAATTTGATCAGTTTAAATGCATCTAAACATAAAAATAATGTTCAGCTCCATTAGACATTATAAAATAATTTTTAAATTTCGTTCATTTTAACAAAAAGTTAAAATTCGGACAGAACTTATGGGGTGACCTGAGAGATATATGTAAAATGAGAACAAATAGTGTACAATTCCAACGTTCGTAAGATTTAATTTAAAAGAGGGCTCAATACAAGATGACCTACGTTAAATTCTCTTTAAATTTAACGGTCATAAGGTGGATTACTCAAAAAAAGCCCCACTTCAGTTCTGATCGTCTTCAGTGAGAGCATAGTCTATTTTTGGAATGTAACGATTGGTTGATTTATAACACCCCCACCTTTTTTTTTTTTTTTTTTTCGTAAAAAGAGTGTTATTTTGCATTTAAATCTAAATCAATCGTTCACTCAACAGTAATTAACAATCTCCTGATAAGACTCGCATCGAAAACACGACTGCAATTATATAGCGATTTTGACATGTTTTCGATGAAATATCCTAATATATATATGTCATCAGGGCTAGGCTGGCTAAAGAGGGGAGGACAAAGCCAACATTTTATGTTTTTATTTTATTTTGTTTATTTATTTTTATAGCGTTTTTTGGTTTTATGCTAATTTTAGTTTTTAGTGTTTGTTTTTACCAATGAAAATGTCGCTTTGTCCTATCCTCTTTAGCCAGCTTAGCAATGAAGATCCGTTAGGTGAAACCTTGGTAGGTAGTTCCTGACCCATTAGGATTTTTTTTTTATACTTTGCACTACTAGGTGCATTGAGCACTTTTACGTTTTGTCTTACATTTATTGTCTTTGCGATGTATGGTGACTTTTTTCTTTTTTCGGTCAATATGGATGTTTTTAGTCTTTTCTTTTTTTACTGATTTTTTTTTTCTCTGATACCAGTTTGTTTAAATATATTTTTATTTGCAAATTGTACTATCCGGGTTTTTAGGTTTTTTTTTTTGGTTTTTTTTTTTTTTTTACCTACCTAGGTTTCACCACATGGGATCATCAGGGTGATCCCATGTGGTGGCCTTCAAATAAAAGTATCTTTTTCATTAAAATTTATTTATTTTACTTTTGCTCTAACAGGCCTGTATTGAGTACTCTTCGTTTTAACTTATTACTCGCTAGGTTTTTTCTTTGTACTAGAAATTTAAGGTACTGGACGAGTTTTTTTTTCCGCCCTGTTCAGAGGTATCTGGTGCTTTCCTTTTTTTTTTCCCTAATTTTTTCTCGGATGCCATTTTGTTTGAAAATTCTCCTATCCAGGTTTTTTTTTTTCACCCACCGAATTTAAATAGATTTATTTATTTATATCGGTCGGGTTTCGGTCCTGGCTTGAGGCATTCGGATGTCTAGTCGCACTGAGGAGCTGTGATACAGCGAAACAGTACTGTCTGCAAATTTATATATAATATATATATATGTAAGATGGAATCTGGTCTAGGAGAAGGACAACTCTGAATTCAAAATTCGCGGAGGGTCGTTTGGAGATCCTGTGGCACGTAGTGTACCAAATCTCTGTATTCGACCCTTCAAAAAATGTGGATTGTCTGCATGAAACCTTCACCACTATAATGAAATCTCATGAGCTGGTGTCGGGTTTTCAGTTTCCTAGGAACTGATCTGCTTGACCCTCATACGTGGAATTTGATGTGAGAGAGGAGTATATATAAGAATAAGAATTTTGTTTATTATTGTCGAAATGTTCTTGTCTAGCACTGGAACTTCCACGTTTGTGTTGGGAGGGGCGAGTCGAATTAAAGAGGAAAGTCATGTCAGTTACACAGAGAAATGTTAGAAGTAAAAGTTAGTACGCTGCAGTAAATGATTGGACTAATTTAATGAGAGGTGACGAAAGTAAATAAGACGAGTAATAAAGATAATTAGACTTGCTTGTCACACACTCGGTCGAAGATTCTCCTGTCTTTCCTTTCAAAAAAGCGGATATTTATTTAGCACAAAGAATTGATGATTGTGTCATTTAAAAAGCTGACTAACAGAAACGAAGGAAAAGGTTTGCTGTTTTTTTTAAAAAAAATAAGACAAAACAACACTTACATCCTTTAACGTCTGATACAAGAGTTCATATTTTTGTTTATTTGCTTGGGGAATGTGTTTTTATATTTTTTCTCTCTCTATCTCACTCACTCACTCACTCACTCACACACACATATACTTATCCCCCTCACTTTCTGATTTCTTTATTTTTCTCTCTCCTTTCTTTCCCACCTATATATTTTTTCTCTTTCCATCTTGTTTTCTCTTCCTCTTGTATTCTCTCTCACTTCCTTTCTCTCTTCCTCTTCCTTTCTCTCTTCCTCTTTCTCTCCCAGGCTCTCTTTTCCTCTATTTCTTCTCTCTCCTTCTCTCCATCGCCTTTTCTATCCCTCTTTCACCTTTTCCCCTCTCCATTTTCTCATTTTCTACCCCTTCACCCTCTCTCTCTTGTTTCTCCCTTTTCTCCATCCCTCTCTACCCTCACTCTCTCGTGTTTCTCCTCCTCTTCCTCACTTTTACCTCTCTCCTTTTTCTCCCCTCTATCTCTCTCCCTTTTTTCCCCTTTCTCCTTGTCTCCTTCCCTCTCTCTCTTCTTTTTCCTCTTTCTCTTCTCTATCCCTCTCTACCCTCTCGCTCTTTTATCCTCCTCTCTATCATGTTTATCTCCCTCCCTTTTCTCTACCTCCCTCTCCCCCTCTCTCTCCTTGTTCTCTCCCCCTCTCTCTCCTTTTTCTCACCCCCTCTCTCTCTCTCACTCTCTCATTATTTATGCGCGCACGCGTGACATCTTTTGTCCAGTGTTCGGGAAGAGTAAGAAATATCTTTCAAGTTTCCTTTGCTCTTTACTGCTAGTGCTTAATCAGTCGACTGGACTAAATCGATTATCGACTTTATGATGAAGCAAAATAAAGCGTGGGGGGGGGATACATTGAAAGAGAAAAGCACATCGGTCGACATTTAAACACTGAACTTTCTCTTCTTTTTGATCGACGTAGAAGAACGTCATTTTGAAACAGATTAGTCAATGGCGATCCAAAAAAGTTGAACTGGTTACAACAAAGGAAATTATGGTGAGATTAAGGACAGTCTTCAAAGTGTCGGCCAAAATGAAATCTACTCTCAGGAAAAAGATATTTTTTTTTTATGACGATTTGGTGAAACGTGAACAAACCTAATTTGCAGAATTACACTGAGCAATAGGCACATTTGAATGCCAGATTATAATAGAAAAAAAAATTTCGGCAAGCTTGGACCTTCGACCTACAAAAAACGGACTTTTGTAAGAACTGTTTTTTCATTGACACCGCTATTATTTTAACTACCTCCACTCCTCGGCGATGTTTATTGTTTTAAAAAGCGATGATTAGAATTGTAATAAAATCTAAACATATAAAAGTGAACTTTATACATTTTTTTTTGTTCTTAAGAATTTACAACAAAAATAATAAACACTATTTCTATATCTGTCCATATTTCTGAGATGAGCTATTACCTACATTATTCGGACTATTGTCCTCATCTTTGTCGCCATATTTATTACAACGTTTCGGCCGTTGTACGCTACGGCCTTCTTCAGGTGGTTGGAATGTCGAACCAAACCCTTTATTTCGCGCACTGGGGTAGACTGTACTAGTTCCACGTGCCATGTTTAATGGATGTCACTTATCAGTTCTCTTGTTAATTTTCCCTCTGAAAGTTCTCCACTGTCTTAACCGGGTATTGAACTCACACTCTTTGGGTTCTGTCACTGGATCTAACCAACGCCTTTATCCACTGTGCCATGTGTCATTTATTTCTGTTTATTTACAGTATTTATTATATTTTTTTATTGCAATGGTTGGCAAAACAATGGCTATTTGCAAATTTATTCAAACTTTATAAAATGGTAAACAATAAGGATTTCCTTAGAGTTGGTTCACATATGTTAATAATTTAATAAATGTTTAAAATTTCATGAATAAAAAATAGTTTTCATATTGCTTTCTTTATAAATTAGTAAATGATAAATATTTCATTGCATTAGTTTTAGTTGTATTAGTTTATTTACAACATTCTAAAAACTATCTAATAAATAGTGTTTAATATTTTTGTTGTAAAGTCTCAAGAACAAACGAAAATGTATAAACTTTGACCTTTTCATGTCCCACCAAAAACACTGAATCAAAAAGATGTTTTTTTTTTTTTTCATTGATACCGCTATTATTTTAACTGTTTTCAAAGTGATGATTAGAATTGGAATAAAACCTAAGCTCATGAAAATGAATTCATACATTTTCTTCATTCTTGAGAATTATCAACAAAAATAATAAACACTATTTATCAGATTGTTTATTTACAATATATTTAATTATTTATTGGAATGATTGACAAAACATTGGCTAATTGCCAATTGATTCAAACTTTATAAAATAATAAATAAGGATTGTTATGAATAATCAAGAGTGGTCTCCCCTTGTTTTGTCTCTCTCCTCTTTGAGAGAGCTATTTCTATTTACTGGGACTATAAAAGGACACTATACGCGAACATTCTATTCTCAGTTGAATGAAGCTTTCTTAAAACCTACACCTGCATACTTTTGTCATTACATGAATTTACTTATAGTTGTTTCACATATTTTAATAATTTAGTATATGTTTATAAATTTATGAATAAAAATTGTTTTCATATTTCTTTCTTTATAAGTTAGTAAATGATAAATATTACATTGCCTTAGTTTTAATTGTATTAGTTTTTAGAATGCTGTAAATATAAAATTATTCTTGTAAATAAACAATTTAATAAATAAATAATGTTTAATATTTTTGTAGTAAATTCACAACAAAAAAAATGTATAAATTCATTTCCATGTGTTTAGGTTTTATTACAGTTCTAATCATCGCTTTTTAAAATATTAAACATTACCGAGGGGTGAAGGTAGTTAAAATAATAGCGGTGTCAACGGAAAAACTGTCCTTTTTGAATATACCAGATTAGCACCTAGGTCTTGTCATTTTACTGTTAAAATTACTAGATGTAACCGTAAGTTCTTTCTTAATAATCGCTTTTCTCACACAGTTACCTTTTCTCGATTTCCTTCACACTCAGTAAACCCTTATCGCCTTGCTTGAGGTGAAATGATTAAAAAAAACGTTAGGGAAAATACATTGATAACTGAATAATGATGTTATAAATTTATGTAGGTATCTCTACTAATTCGCTGGAAAAAGTATACCGTGATGTAAAAAATGCCCCAAACTTGATAAAAACAAAATTTTATTGTCAAAATATTTGTTATTAAGAGGAAACACCTAAGTATTTTTTTGATTATTTTATTCAATTTTTTAAAATCCTTTCTAGTCTGTTTGAAATTTTGGTTAAAAATCTTGTTTTTTCTTTGCGGTAAAAAAAAAAACAAAAAACACATTGAGTGGAAATTCATGCAAAAATCAAATAATTCTCGGATTTTAATGAAATTTTCAGGACTTATTCACAAATTAATTAAATTATTTTTTATTTCTTTTTGGTTTTTTTTTGTTGTTTTTTTGTTTTGTTTTTTTAGAAAATTTCGGTAAAATATTTTTATTTTTTTACATCTGTTACCCCTCACATACTTATTTTTATGAAATTTCAAGAAATTAAAATTTCACTCCCCCCTTCATATTTGTATTAGTTAAAAGTAGCATTCCTTGGAGAATTTAAATCATTTTTTTTTTTTTTTTTGTCAAACAGGAACAACATTTACTGAAATCTGCTCTAAATAGTTAAATAAAAAAATACAATAAAGCTGAGACATTATTTAAGCATTTAATTGCTTTTATAAATAAGTTATATTAAGGATATTATTGTCTTAAGAAAAACAAATTTCAATGAATTTTTACAAGAATTGTTTTCATTTTTTTTTATTTTAATTAGTATAATTTATTAAGTCTTAAATCTTTTAAATTTCTGCATTATTTTGTGCTGGTTAGGTGATGTTATTAAGTAAAAATTATATTTACTAATCATAAATTGAAAAGGATTTTGAAAAAGAATTTTGAACTGAAAAAATTTAGAGAACGTTATTTTCATACGTGACAGTAAATGACGTAAATTCAGTTAACAATATGAAAATAGCGTTCTCTAAATTCTTCCAGTTGCTAAGGACATTTTGTTTTGTTATTATTAGTTACTTTGTTTAATAAATGCATTTCGTTATTTCGTTTTGCGTTGAGAAAGTCCACATCGGACGAAACGCGTCGGCAACTATTACAGTTTTCCTATTGTCTTTTACATTTATAAATATTGTCTTTTTCTACAGGTTAACCCCGAGAAATGTTTCATATATATAAGGAAAATTAATGAAAAAGTGAAAAAAAATTAATGTGATGTTTTTGGACCTTTAGGATTTCATCCAACTAAAGTGATGTAACTGCGCATGCGTACGAGGGAGAGGGGGGTAGCTGTAATTTTAGACTTTTAAATTTAATTTAATAATAGAAGATTTACCAAGATGAAATGTCAGAAGATTGACTCAAATTTACTATGGATAATCTAGCGATTAAAACACTTTCTATACACTGTCCGTTTTAGTAAATTCCACCTTGATGTTTTAGATTTTATTATTTTGTTTTGTATTGGCTTTTTATTGTTTTAGAAGTAGTTGTAACAATTTTTATGTTAATCTCATATATATATATATATATATGAGAGAGAGAGTATAAAATTAGAAAAAAACCCACGCGCAACTCATTAAATCCACAAGTAACTGCCCTGACGAGACCGTGGGGTCGAAACCCGGGTTGTGCGTTGCGCATAGATTTTTTCCTAATCTTATATTTTATTACCAGCTCTACAAATTTAATTTTTCTGAATTTCGTATTGAGCACTTTAAAAAATATCCAAGCATTGGTCTGACTCTAAACTTGCCTACTAATATTTCTTTTTAGTAATATATATATATATATATATGTGTGTGTGTGTGTGTGCGTGTGTTTTTATTTAGGAAGAATGTTTTCATTCAAAAAGGTTTGGTTAAATAATTTAGTTTAATCTGTTTATTATTGTTTTGAACCTTTCAAATCCACGAATCAATTTCTTGGTAGCTTTAGAAAATTGATTAAGAAAAATACCAAAATTTTCTTTCAAAAGTTTTTTATTTTCCCAAGTACTTTCAATTTCATCTGAGACCATCTTTAGGGTGTTAAATTATCTGTGTTTGTTTATACGCATTTCCGTAAATTCAGAACATACATGCATACATATATATGTCTATATTTCTGAGATTTCACGGCAATTATTGCCTGAAAATCTTCAGTTTTTCAATTTGAATCGTTGAATTTATCTTTATGGAAATTCCCTGTCTTTAGACGCTCATCGTCAGTGAAAATCTCGGCCGGTTTCTCTGGTATTCTCTCTCAATGTTCCTGAGGAAAAAAAAAAAGCAAAAACATTAAAAAAACAATTTAACAAGAAGTCGAAATGAGATAAGACATCTGTCTATATTTCTGAGATGAAGTATTATGTACATTATTTACATTATTCGGACTATTGTCCTCATCTTTGTTGCCATATTTATTACAACGTTTCGGCGCTTCAGTATCTGTCTATATTTCTGAGATGAGGTATTATGTACACTATTTACATTATTCGGACTATTGTCCTCATCTTTGTTGCCATATTTATTACAACGTTTCGGCCCTTCAGTATCTGTCTATATTTCTGAGATGAGGTATTATGTACACTATTTACATTATTCGGACTATTGTCCTCATCTTTGTTACCATATTTATCACAACGTTTCGGCTGTTGTACGTTCCGGCCCCTTT